ATTCGCAGATTGAGTTCTGCTTCAAGCCTGTTGGTCACGGTGAGTGGTTGGGTTTTGGACTCCGTCTGAGTTTGGACGATAAGGAGTTTGGAGTTGGGGTGAAAGTTAAAGGTCATGAAGAGGGTTGAGATCGGGGCTGAGATGGGGTTCAGGGTTGGGGCCGAGAGTGCAACTGGGTTAAATGCCAGGGTTGAGTTCATTTTGGGTATTGCCGCTGAGGGACAGGGTGGGGAGAGGGTCGAGGGGGGCCCTGAGTCAGGCTGAAGAACACGCTCGCTCCCATCAGGGATCGACAAGGGTCCCAGAGCTCAGAGCACTCACTCACCGGCAAGCCTGGGTGTCCCACAGGACCTTGAATCCCTACTGGTCCAGGTGGGCCCTGGGGATGGGGAGGGGGGGGGCGAGAAACAAAGTCCAAGGCCCCTCAGGTTCAAGATGGAGTGGGGGCACTGGCAATGTCAGTCCCTGCCTCCCTGCCCATAACTCTTTGTTAGAAAAATCACACCACCAGGGGCAGCTACGTCCTCTCAACCCCATCTCCCTAGCAGACGATTCTTGGGATCCAAAAGGGCACCGGCCTCTATTTCTGGTCTAGCCTGCCAGACCTGTCTCTGGAAGTCTCACCACAGCCCGGCAACTGAGCTGGCTCACTGCTGCTGCTGGATACCGGAACTGAAGGCCAAGGGCCTCCCAGCCAGAGCCAAGTGTGGGCCACCAGAGAAGAGGAGAGGAGAGGGTCACCTCCCCCTTCCCTTGGGGCCCAGCTTCTATCTGCAGTTGGGTTCTGTGAGCCCTGACCCGAAGCATTCTGGTAAGTTTGTAATGCTTGCAGGTATGAGGATAGGGCCCGGGAAGGTGGCAAGTTCTGTACATCTTCCCGCTCCTCCCAGACACCCCTCCCCCTCTTCCCTTCTGGGGGAGAACTCCACAATTGGGGGCCCCCACTCACCGCTTCCCCCTTGTCCCCTTTGCTCCCCTTATGACCAGGGGCGCCCACGTCTCCCTGCAGAAGAAACAGGATGAGAGAAGACCCGGCCTCTCCACACCGTCCATGCTCCTCCTGGCCCCTGCCTCCCCAGGCGCCCCTCACCTTGTCCCCCTCCTCTCCTGAAGGCCCGGCAGCTCCATTGGGTCCAGGAAGGCCCAGGGGCCCTGGGATGCCCTCTTTGCCAGTGGGACCGGAGGCGCCACGTTCACCCTGACTCAGAGAGTTGGAAAGGGTGGGAAAGGCGGGTCAGGGGGCTAGGGCTGGAATGTCCCAGGGGTCCCTGTACATGGTAGGCCCGGGTCCCCCGGGGGAATGGGCTGGGCAGGTCACTTACCAGGGACCCCTTCTCGCCTGTAGGTCCAACTGGGCCCTGGCCTCCACTTTGGCCAGGAAGCCCAATGCCTCCTGCTGGGCCCACAGGACCCCGTTCACCAGGGGAGCCCTGAAAATGAGGACATCATAACCAGGCGTGGCTCTCCTTCAAGGAGAGAGAGCGGCTGGGCAGTCCCCCTTTCCTCCTCTCCGGAAATCAAACACCGAGCTTGGTCAGTCTCGGCTCTGCCCACCACCCTCCTCCAGGTGGTTCCCAAACCCTGAACATCCTGCCCCAATCACTGCCCTGCACAGCCCCCCTCTCCCGGGTTCAGCTCCAGTCCCACCAGGCCCCTCCAGGTTCCTCACACACCAGGCAGCCTCCGGCCTCAGGGCCTTTGCACCTGCCGTTCCCTTTGCCTGGAACACTCATTCCTCTTGAAGATGCCCACTTGGTCCCTCCCCTGTCTCCTTCAGGGCCCGGCTCAGCTGTCACCTCCAGAGGCCTTCCTTGGTCAGCCCATGCCCGCTGCTGTCTGCCACCCTGTGCTCCACATCTCGGGGGGTGGGG